CCCCCCCCCCTTCGCTTCCCCCCAAACTCGGACTTCTTTCATCTTTCGCGCCTGGCGAAGCCCAAGACGTTGACATGCCGGAGATCCGTCTCCGCCATGTGGTGTCCTGCAGTAGCCAGGACTCGGTGAGGAACTGACATGGGGGGAGGCTGGAAGACGTAAGGGAATCCCTGCGGGGGCACTGCGAGAACTTTGGGAGTGTAAAAGGGAACTTCACGGAAGTCCACGGCGGGTCAAGGGGAAATTCCAGGAGGCTATAAGGGAACTCTGGCAGAGGTGTGGAATGGGGGAACTTGCGGAGAGGACAGGAGGAAGTGGGGAGCTTCCAAGGGAAAATGTACGGGACTCAAGCAGAGTGTGGTGGGATTAACGGGGAATTTTAACTCTGGGGGATAGCAGAGGGCTCTGGAGAGCTGGGGACCGAGCTCTCATCCCTGTACCCTTACTTTCCTTTTTCTACTCTTCTCTGCAGACCCACTGTGCAGAAAACCTTCTCAAGGCGGACACTTACCGAAAATGGCGGGCAGCCAAGGCAGGCGAGAAGACCATCTCTGTGGTGCTCCAGGTGATCCTGCCCTCCCCCTGTCTCCTTCCTAGTAGGAGTCTGGAGACTCAGGGTCCAGACACAGCTCTTCAGTCAACTGGCAGTGGGTTAAGCCTTCTGGACTTCAGCTTCCCTACCTGGAAATGGGCAGTGTGACAGCTGTGCCCCTTAGCAGAGAACAAAGGTGGTCCAAGGACTAGGCCTAGGGTGACTATAGGAATCAGTGTGTGGCCTGGGTAGGTTGCTTCTGCTTTCTGAGCCTCAGTTTCCTCACCTGGAACAGAGTGAATAGTTTTCATGTATCTTGCCTTCTGAAGTCCTTGGGCTCCGGGTTGCAAGGTGTTCTGGAAGATCATGTAAGCCAATCAACCCCATTGTAGAGATGGGAAAACTGAAGCACAGAGAGGGGAGAAGTGAAATGGCCGGTCTAAGCACCATTTCTGGAATGCTTGCCAGGTTCTTCTGAGTGCTTTTGTACGTGCTCTCACCCAACCTTCAGCCCAGGCTCTGAAGTTGGAGGGAGGCTCAGAGGAAAAAGGGTGGTTTGACCCCAGGTGGTGACAGAATTCTAAACGGGCTAGTGGAAGGAGAGAGCTGAGTGTGTTTGAAGCATCTGCTCTGTGCTGGATCCTGGGCTGGGTGTTTTACCTGCGTGATCTCACAGGGGCCGTTAGCACCATCCATAAATAGCTTGCTAAGACTCGAACCCAAGTGGGCACTCTGAGCCACCTTGTCACACTTGGTATGTGTTCATACGCTGGCTTTCTTGATTTTGCCCATATTCCTTCTGAATGGAGGGGTGGGGAGGGATGTTGGGGAGCAAGGCTTTCATGATTGTGTTGGACATATTCTCAGTCTCTCTCTTGCCCAGTGGTTCCAAAAGAGTTTTGGGTCACAGACCCTTTTAAGAATTAGAGAGAAGCTGAGGATTCTCTTCCCAGGAGAAGTAAGACTCTAAAACTTTCTGATTTTAGTTGAAACATCTAAGTGTCTAACATAGTAATAATAATAACGAGAGCTAATATTTATTCAACATTACAACTGCCAGTTACTGTTCTGAACTCCACACATGGCTTAAGTCATTGAATCCATAAAAACCCTATGACCTAGAGTCTGTTATTACCTCCATTTTACAGATGAGGAAACTGAGGCCCAGGGAGGTTATGCCACTGGCCTAGAGCCAATGCCTTAAACTGAGAGAGGTACAGGTTGCTCACGATCTAGTCTTGGGATCTGGGTTCAAGTCCCCAGCTCTCCCTCTTACTCATTCTGTGACCTCAGGCAAATGTTTGCCTTTCTCTGAACATCTTTTCTCATCTGTCCATTGGGAATAATGAGATCTAAGCCCAGGGTTATTGTGAAAACTCGGTGACATAATGTCTGCACAAGTGCTCCATCAACATGTAGATGTTTGTGTAAAGGGAGGGATTCATGTTTTTATTACTGGGTGACGATTCTGCTGGGCCCTCTGAGGATCAGGTGACCCCAGGAGAATCACATTCCAGTCTATACCCCAGTTGCAGTGGGAGCAGAGAGACCAGAGGCAGAAGAGACACGACGTGGGGAGGGGCCACAGCAAAACACAGGATTCTCTGGTCCAGGAGACAGGGAGGTATTGCAGCTGTCACCGAAATGGGAAACCCAGAGAAGGGGCAGCTTGGGAACCTGTAGGTGGAATGTCTGGTGTGCTGTGACTTTGGGACATCCAGGGGGAGGTACTCAGGAGACACTTAGGAATCGGAACTGAACCCGGAGACAGAGGTGTGGAAGTTGTCAGCACAGGGGCAGGACCTATAGACTCAGGAGTGAATGGATTCTTTTTTTTAAGTTTATTTTGAGAGAGAGGGAGCGGGGGAGGGGCCGAGAGAGAATCCCAAGCCGGCTCCGCACTGTCAGCATCGGGCTGCCACTGGCAGTGTGGAGCCCGACACAGGGCTCAATCTCACAAAACCGTAAGATCATGACCTGAGCTGAAATTAGGAGTCAGATGCCCAATCGACTGAGCCACCCAGGCGCCCCAGGAGTGAATGGATTCTTATGTTCATTCATTCATTGAGTAATTTTTTATGAAGCACCTCCTGTAGGCCAAGCACTGTTTTAGGTCCTGGGGACAGGACAAGACACAGATATGTCAGTCCTGTGGAGCTGTCATGTTAGTAGGAAAAGTGACCTAACTTTTCTAACATGTCAGATGGTGGAAGAAAATTCACCCATCAAGAGAGGCAGGAGGTTTTTATTTTAACAGGGATCCAGGAGGGCCTCCCTGAGAGGGTGACATTGAGCAGAGTGAGCTGTAAATATCCAGGGAGGAAACACAGACTGTGAGGCGGCCTGGCGCCTGGTGTGCCGGAGGAGCCGCAGGGGGGCTGGTGTGGGTGCAGTGGATTTAGCCTGGTGGGTGGGGGGGGCAGGTGGGACATGAGCTAATGGGGTGGGGGTGGAGGGCCCCCAACACACTGAAGGCCTGAAAGCCACCGTTAAGTACTTCAGCTTTTACTCTGGACGAGACAGGAGCCACTGAAGGGCTCTGAGCAGAGGAGGAGCAGAGTCGGACTTCGGTTCCTACAGAACCCTGGTGTCCGTGTTGAGAATTAAAGCACGGGGGGTGAGTACAGGAGCAAGCTGCACAGCACCAGCCACGTTAGAGACACTTCGGGAAATCTGACCGCATTCGGCGACTGCCAGGATGCAGGGCGACTCCAGATTCACGGTAACTTTGGGTCTTTTCAAGCAAGTGAAAAAGGCAGAACTTTCTGGACACCGATGCCCGTAGACTGATCTGTGGCACGTTCTTCTCCCCTGTTTTTTTTCCTCCAAACAATATGATGCAACATCTGGATATTGCCTCACAGGGTTCAACCCTCTGCTCGTGACGGCCACACACACCTTTTTTGTTTGCGGCAGCTGAAGGAGGCTCCGTGGATAACTTGCTCCAGGGAGGGGAGTTCCAACTTCTTGGCTAACCGCTCCTGGGCTGGAGGGGATGGCTGGGACCATGTCCAGATTGCTCCGCTGCCCCACTGACATGCGCTCTTTGAGAGAAATGCTCAACCGGGGCGCCTGGGGCTCAACAGGGGCGCCGGTTAAGTGTCAGACTTCGCTCAGGTCATGATCTCACGGTTTTTGCGAGTTCGAGCCCCGCGTTGGGCTCTGTGCTGACGGCTCAGAGCCTGGAGCCTGCTTTGGAGTCTGTGTCTCCCTCTCTCTCCCCCCCTCCCCCAACTCACACTCTGTTTCTCTCTCTCTGTCAAAAATAAATAAACATTAAAACCAGAGAGATGCTCAACAACAGGGTGGCACACGTTTGGATTTTGTTGCTCAGTGGTTTTCCAACCACTCAGTTGGCCCCCATGGTGTTTCAAATCGGTTTTTATTTGTGTAATGTGTACAGCAAAGCACACGGTTCAGTGAACCCTCACACACGACAACCTAGGTGCCCCCGCC